GAGTAAAACACTAAAGCCCAAATTACTGTGAGAGTGATGCAACCGCTAAGAGTAAGAGTAAGAGACTGTTTGGCCTCCTTGTGCCTCTTACAGCTGCTCTCTATGCTGGCTCGAATACTAACTGTAACAACTGTGATTTTCATATCTCTGGTAAGAAATACGTTATCTGGCACATACTGCGGGTTGATATTCAACTTCTCAATGACTCACTTGTGTGAAGCTGCCTTTTTGTTTCAACGGTCGTCTCTGCATCACAAACACTGCGAAATTATATAATTCAAAGGGGGCCTTCTCAATAAACATATTCCGCACACAGGAAAACTGATCGAGCAAAGACCAGCAGTGGTCACAAGTAGACCCTCACTAAGGCCGACTAAAAGACACTTAACAGGACATTTGCTTTGTAACACTACAAACCACAGCCTCTGAATGGCCATTGAGTTGAATCAACACCTTAAGCACAACTGACCATCATGAGTTTCACCAAATTTGTCTGTATTTCGTTATTTTGCCCATTGCATGTACATGGATTCATTTAGTGCTGCGACTGTACAGCGTGTCTGCCATTTCAATCTATTCATCATTGCGTGGCATTTTTAAAGCAATCAAAATAAGTCATTCTTGCAGTAAATTACTTGATATCATTAATGAAAGTGTGCTAGAGATAATTATAGCCTCGGTTGCACAGCAGAGGTATTGTAAGTGCTGGAAAATTATGATCCAGTTTAGGTTATGACCACATTTCCAATAAACCATATTGCTTCCTGTTGCGAAGGAGATGGCCACTGTTGACTCCCCCAGGCATTACCCTGGATTAGTTTGTTAGAGTGAGCTGAAGCTGATAATGGATGGAGTAGGTGTTTCATCAGTCTTTCACTCACACCATCATCCGTTGTTGCATGAAACCCTCAGATGTATGAATACTGTCCTGTCCATCCTTTCTGCCATAAACCAACCTCTTTGTGTCATAAATGTAAAATAGAATCCCTACAATACAATGTTAATCCAGTGAAATGCATGGAGACATTCCCAATTCCTTTTTTTTGTTCAGGTATCACATAATCAATGTCTCAACATATCTTACAGGGTTTTTTTTGCACTGAGGAGCTACAATTTGTTGTTTTGTACTGAACTCCCGCAGGTTTTTTTATATTCATTAGGGTTTTTTTTTGGCATGGATGTCATTTTGGGTCACATTTACTGTTCACTGTCTATGACTTGTCCCAGTAAACATTGACCTACTGTTGAGATCTGAATCTAAACAGCTCTGTGCAAAACACAACAGCATTCAGCTTGACAAAACTGGCATTCTTGTATAAGCAGTCAGTGTCAGCAAAACAGAGATATTTCCAGGGTTGACTGCTGTGGTGCGAAAACATGAGCAGAAAGAAGCATGAAACAGTTGTGATAATTTAGAGAATGTAAAAAACAATGAGATAAAATAATTCAGAAAAACAGAATCTAATAATTACCGTGAGTTATATTGTAATGAGGCACCTTTACTCTAAGTTCAATTCATCAACACATCAACCTTTTAGGTTTTTTAAATATTACCTATGATGATTCATAGATAGCCAGACGGACAGACAGACAGATAGACCTCACCTCAGGTCAGACCTCTCAAGCTGGTTTCTTACTGCAGGTCTCTTCTGTAGCCAAGCAAATGTTCCTTTATTGACCTTACAGGAGGATTTATCTCAAAGTGGATCTTTCCCATCATTAGCCTCGAGCAGAGTCTCCCTATCAGCAGTAGTAGAGAGTAAATTCTTGATCCTCCAGTAATGGACCTCCACAGCCATGGAATTGCAGTATGCAATAAAAGGTATTCTTGCCCATTAGTCTTCAATGCAAGCCTGTTGAAAACAGCCTGGCTAATGAACCATACCAGAAACTTACAAATAAACAAGGGAAAGTTACTGAGTCGATATGAGAAAGAGAAGGAGAGGGCATTCATATGCGTGTCTGATATATTTAAGTGAACTGGAGACAACATTCAAATCGATGAGAGATGTTGCTCAGCTGTATTATGGAAGAGAGCAAATGGGTACGGAAAAAGGGAAGAGGAGTTGTGATTTTTTTGAATAAATATCACAACAAAAGTGAGATAGATGTAAGTTTACATATGTGAAGCAATAGATGTTCAATTTTTCATGAAATAATAAAGTAGGCTGTATCGTGTTTCTTCCAGTCCTGACAAATTCACAAATTGCTTTCCATTTCATTTTCTGTGTGTGCCAGAGTGCGTGTGTGTGTGTGTGTGTGTGTGTGTGTGTGTGTGTGTGTGTGTGTGTGTGTGTGTGTCCTTTTCATAAAAGAGCCTCTTCTTCCCACTTCTTCAAATGCACGCATTTTCCCCACAAAGCCTAAGCAATTTCTGTCAGGTGTGCAGTTGAGCAACGTTCTGTGATGAAGAAACATCATAATTAACATCTTAAATCCCATTTGAAGTGTGTGCATTTGAGATTTCCTCCGCTACTTGGTTGGAAATTGCTGGGTTTTCGCTGTCTGTTAACCGACCTGCAGAGTGAGCAAATTAAGCCGTGATGTTTTCCCCTGCAAAACTGGGTTAAACATGGGGGTCGCTGTATTGTGCGATAAGCACAGATCTTGCAACCATTTGCACTTTTCTTTGTGCTCTCCCCAAATTAGACAAGCTAGTAATACAGGAGAATTTACACTGGGACCTCTGAATGGTTGAGAAATAAGACCTAATGACTTTTGCAGCTTAACACAGCCATTTAAGGCACAATGCTCATTGCAATCATACACACACACACACACACACACACACACAATGAAGGAAGTAATACCTTCAGGGGGTTGCTATTAAGATGGTTAATCCGTGGGCCTCGAGAGGAGCAGGATAAAATATTCCTGGAGGAAGCTTTTCACAACAAGCTCCTAGGATCAAGTGCATGAATAAATTACAGGCATAATTAAAGGAAATGTCAAATGGCTGCTGTATGGAGCATTATTAACGATGCCCTGGCCATGTTGAAGGAACCTGGGTCTGAAATGAGGATGATGAATGTAGGTTTAATGGGGCTCCTAGTAGACTGAGGGACTGCGGGACCTAAAGAAGAGGGAAACAGTGTTTGTGACTAAGAGAAAGAGACCTGAAGAAAGAGTGAGACAAAGAGTAAAGAAGGACAGTTGAGAGAGTGTGATTGAGAGGAGGAAGCGAGTCGGAAGAGAGAGCAGTTTTTTATTCAGTCTTGTCATGGGAGATACATCCTTTCGCCATGAACCAAAGCTGTCAGCGGATGCTTATCAAACACAGGGAAACGTCAACTTTTGCAACTCAGTAGCAACCCAATTTCTTTCAGTTGGCGAATGCAGTTTTTGAGTTTCTTGTCAAGCCCAGCGAAGTCGATTTTCTTTGCAGAGCCCAGAATCACAAATTTGCCTCTTCGAAATCTGTACAAAATACAACACCCTTTATTTATCCCTAGAAACTCCAATCAGATAAGAGCGGGAAAAAAGAGAAACCTCAGGTAGAACAACAGATGATGAAACCCTCTTCCAGGATCAACAGACATCTAATATCTGAAGAAAAGACAGAGGCAGACAGAAGAAGCAGTTTCAGCATTACAATATAAAGAAAAAAATGGCAATTTTAGGCAAATAATACACTTAAGTAAAGTAAATAATTCAGTAAATATTAAGAATTTCTGGCCAAATGTAGAATGTTTGGAATACCGTGGATCAATTATGCACAATGGCAAAATCTCAGGTGAAACATCACACTCCTATTGCAGAATAACAGTCAGGTAGTGGCATAAACAGGCTTTCTCCAAAGCAGGCTTGTCATAGCATGAAAAGCACAGGTGTTACCAATAACATTAACAATAGCTCTGTTCCATTCAATGGCAGCATCCTGAAACGGAAGCAGCAAAATTGAATTCATTCTATTTTTTTGCATCTGTGCTTTCCCTGCTGTGACACGTCAAAAAATGTCAGTGAAAAAGGGCATATTAGAAAGGGAGAAATGTCAACAACAATAACACCATCCATTTGCATTTGTGTGTTTTAACCGCAGGTACCTGCTCCATTACATTTCCGTAACAACCAGGTCTGTTGATTTGTTTTTTTGTGCAGTGAGTGGCACAGCGGGAAGCAGGTTCAGTTGTACACACAACACTTCAGTCTCCTCCAATCACAAAACTAGTTTGATGATGTCACTCAAGCCCACAAGCATGCCCCGCTTGCACCCAAAAGAAGAAGCCACGCTCACACATTTCTGAGTCATTTTAACACCCCACTCTGCAGCTCTATGTATTCAGCCACTTGCAGCTCATTATACTGGTTGCCTGGTGCATGTGTGCTTCAGTCCCGATGGCTCTCACTGACCCCACATATTATAACTAGCAGCCACTCCTAGTTTTCTCTACCACTGTAAATTCACATATTACGGGTTTGTTTTTAGGACATTGTGCCATGTGGTTTCAGATCTCAAAGTTGTCTCTAATAATAATTGAGTACGAATCACTAAATCAGACTAAAGTGTTGCTGTTGGAAGAAAAAAACATTCTTAGGCATCATTTCTTAAGTGTTTAACACTCGAATCTCAGTATGTCTGCATACTAAATTAATGGGACTTTTACTTGAGGAGCCCTGGATGCCTGAAATAGCTCAAGTTTTCACCTCTACTGCTGTGAGTTTGGTTTGGAGAATAGCCTACTAGTGGTCAAATATGGCTTATTGCAGCTTTAATATTCCAAGTTCCTTTAATGTTCTAAGTTGCACAGCATGATTTGGACTAGACACTTAAAGAAAGTGCTGTTGGCCTTGGCTATAGACTTACTTGTGTTGTCTAAACCTCGGAGACACGCCATGTAAAGAAAATACAAACGAGCCCGTACTCCCTTAATAGTTGGTGAATCACGGAGGCTCACAGTTCCGTTGCAATGCTGTGGTCTGACGCAGAGGGGCGCAGTTCGCCGCCAGGTGCGTCTTCCTCCTCCTCCTCCTCCTCCTCCCGCACCTTCCCATCCCAGCGCTGCTGGTTCTGGTCGCTCCGTCGCCTCTTCGCCGCCGTGCAGCCCACTTCTCCTTCGCAGGGGGAGCTGACTTGATGCGCATAATAAATCGTCCCTGCGAGATTCCCTTTCAAGCCCATTTCCAGACCGACGCGTGTTGGATTTGAGAGCGTAAACACAGGCGAGAGTCGAGCCTCTTAACTGGGGATGTTTCAAATGTGATTCAACACGGCAAACAACGTGGGTGTTGTGTGTGTGTGTGTGTGTGTATGTTTTGCTTTTTTTTTTTTGGTGGGGAGCGGAGGAGAAGGGGGAGCGCAGCGATATGAAACGCGTGTGTTTATGCCTCCTGCGTTACCCGTTATCTCTGACTGACCACCGGCTCAATTCTTCACCTGTGTGAACGACCTTGCGATTGTGACCGAATTTTTTCCTAAAAAAAAAAAAAAAAGGTTTCCATGGAGGATCAATCTGTCGCTTTTCCTGAGAGGGCTGAATTTGGTTCCTGCTGGTCTCAAGATATTTCAAGATAAGAGGTAAGACACAACAATTCTATTAGCCCATGAGCGCGCTTTGCAATTGTGGACGTGCCCAAATAGAGAAAGCTAAATTATTTACACAGTGATATTTATATGCTGAAATATTTATTGACTGTAAAGAGCTCACACGTCGACCTGTCTTGCCCCGCTGTCCCGAATTGGCCCATCAATTCCTTTGACAATGATTATTTAGGCTGGAGTAACGTGACGTGCCCTCCCAACTGCAGCCGATTCCTCCACACTAGGGTAGTCTGGTTTTGGAGGGGCATGCGTTCAGCCACAGGCACGTTGGAAATGTTGTTTTTAAATAAGGAGCTGTTTTCTGTCTCGGCTGTGCCTTTCCTTGTCAAACTGGTGTGTAGACGCTGTTACATTACTCACATTGTAGCCTCGAACTGCTTCCTGTGGTTCCTACCTGGTGTGGTGCAGCCTGGCTGCACTTTACCTCACCCTCTGAAATGTGTTGCTACAGGCCTAAACCAACACATTGGTGTGCATATGGTGCTAGTATGCACACAAAAAAAAACACCATACATGTGCAAGGACCCTATTCCAAATGTATCAGAGGGAGAAACAAAAAATACATTATTTAAGCCTTGAGAAGTGTCACAGCAATGATTGGCTGTATGCCTCCGGAGATACAGTAAGTGTAAAAGGTGCACACACACACACCATATCTTCCCTGCAACATTCACCAGGTAATTGCATACTAGTATGCCACAGTGTCAGCTGGAATGAATGCAGCTAAGGCCTTCAAAGTAAGTACACTCCCACTCTGCCAGCTGGGCTATTTGTTCAACCAGCGTGTTACTTGGATGCAGGCAGAGTGAGATGGAGGTGGTAGATATCGTGATTATACATTATTTAACCCAGTCAGTGGTGTCTTGGTAAAGGAAGGATCCCTCAGTGATTGAGAGTGAATCACCCTGTGAAGCTTTCTCACCTCCTCCTATCAGTGTCATCGTCAGCACCATTATCCATGAGGGCTAGCTGGGAGTGTGTGCGTGTTGGCTATGCGTGCTTGTGTGTATCGTGCGTGTGCATGTGTGTAAACAATATTACACAGTATGTACATGCAAATCTCTGAGTGATCTGCTCTTTGTTGTATCGCTGGCAGAACTCCACATTTTTTTGCGTTTGTGAATGATTTATTAAATCTGAATAAAACAAAGGAACTTATTGCATCAGCTGTTACGCGGTGGCATCCCTGACAAAAACCCATTACAGATGCAAACCATCACATGCATAGTCGACAGTAGTGTAATACCCACTGTACCTTCTTCCACACACCAATCCTCAGTCCTGAGGTGCCAGCAGTATGCACACTGTGGGCCTATCACTGAGGTTTGGCATGCAGGACTCGTCTTGAGAGGAAGCGTACCAATCCAATTTAGCAGACTTTGGGTGGAAGAAGAAAGGACCGAGCAAACATGAAAGGTAGGGAGGAAAATTCTGGTTGAGACCCCACGTGTCTGATTTGACATCCAGGCAGCTGACAAACAATTAGACCCTCAATAAGTAGCGCTCTGAACCAGGCTCGCCCCAGGATTAGTCCACAAATGAGCCGCACATCACGGCTTATGTCTTCTAAATGGGAAGCGAGTGTGTGTGTTATACGCGTTGTTCACGCGGTGAGAAAGTGAGTTTGGTGTGTAGGTGTGTGTGGGCTGTGTGACATTTAGCAGATTGGTGTTATTATCTGGCTCTGCCCTTAATATATCTTGAACACCTCTTGAAGAACTGTGTGTGTGTGCAGACCAGGCTTATTCATGCGCATGCTTTTATGCAGTACAACACTATTGTACATCGATGTGCATATACTCTGCACACGTGAATGTGCGCGTATAGCTGCTCACTTAACTGCTGTGTTATGGCTGGTTCTCTGTTGTGGGTGTGTTTGGCATTTCATAATTGCATCATTACTCGCTCGGTCTCCTGCAAGAAGTTGGTGCATCGCAATCTGCAGCACATGTTACAAGCAGACAGACACTTGCCCTTGATTATGGACCTGGATGGAACGGCTTCCTCATCAGGCTGTCTTGATTCACCGCAGCATGTGGGGAGACACATGCTGCGGTGGGTGAATCTAATTGATTGGATGGCACCCAATTCCCAGGTCCAAGTCTCCTCAGGCAGCCAGAGTGAATCCGTCCAAGTGAAGGATGAGCTTAGGTGTTGGTCGCCACCCTAATAGATTGGCACGGGCTTCTTCCCATATGCCTCTAGTATCACCCTCAGACATCTCTGACTGCAAGTTGGCCAACGCCCGGCACAAAGTGACACTTCCTGGATCTTCGATGATGGACAGAAGTAATGAGACACATCCTGCACCAAACCCCACATCCAATTTTTTTTATCATAGCTCTATTTCCACTTCTAAAATGTGCACTTCCCCTGTCTTCTACTGATGGATGAACACAAGACATAATGCTGAAAGTGGGATGAAAATATTGGTGTTCGCCGAGTTTTTTGTTTCACCACAAAGTCCTTGTTCCAACAGGTCAAGCTCCCCTCTCTCGGAGAACACAAGTGCCATTTCAAAGCTTATTGAATGAAAGTCTCATTTGCCCTTGGCTGCCAAAGATGACGTTGCCATGGAAACAGCTTCTACTGTTATCAATCATCGACTGTCTGGCAGGTAAACCACCTTTTTATATGAGTAATGATTCTTTCCCGTTTGGACATTTACAGTTTGCGGAATGATAGCTGAAGAGGCGAAAATCATGTCAGTGTCAGAGATGATAGGATGGCCCAGGTTTAAAGGGACACTCCTCAGTATTGACCTCCAGAAACAACACAGAAACAATACTCTCAATCTTCTTCCTCACTACCCTGGGGTTGTAACCTGTTTTGTTTCTTTTTCTGTTATGTTTTCCTTGATTTAATTAACACAAACCACAGAGCAAAGAACAGGATTAAAACATTAAAAACACATGTAATGTATAGCAATTTAGCAATGGATGGTTGATCTTTTATCATATGACAATGCAATTGTTTTAAATTCAAAGGAATGGCATCCTATCAATATTGTTCATCTGGTTCTCTCGGAAGAATCTGCACTTTGAGAGAACTGGAGATAATATGAAACGTACAGTATTTAGTCACTTCCCGTTTTCAGCAATGCATAACCTCATATTTTGAGAGAGCCCCCCTATTAGACCTGAATATCATATTTCCTCCAGAAGAACAGGGAATTATGGTGGCCAAACTTGATCAAAGCGGCACTTTTTCTGTATTGTTACGCTCAAGCTGTTACTGTTTGTCTGACAGATTGTCTGGACAGCGGATCATACCATGGTCCAAGATGGAGGATGGAGCCAGGTGACTTGTTCATTCCTATGGACTCCATAGAAGAAGAAGCTACTCTGACCTGTGACGCAAAGGGAACGCCCCCTCCTCAGTACAGGTAAGACCACATTCAAATTAAAGTGTGTGGAAGCAGTGACACTTCCAATGTATGTTTACTTTAACTATTAAACCAAGTGAAAGTCAATAATCCTAATATCTGTCTGAAAACTGGATTACACAAACACTATTTGCACCACAAAAACGCCGTCTTTTAGTCGTAAGCAACCATCACCATTTATTGCTTTTCTTTGTTCAAACTTAAAGGGACTCCAGCACAGAATCAGCAGCACTTGCTTCTCTTTCTCTCTATTCTTCACCTCACTATCATCACTGAAAGCACTCAGTGTCTTAAGAGGACCATGTTTAATGTAAAATACTGTGATCAGTGCATGAAACATAACTTTTGGGTGCGTGGGGACATAAGACCCCACTCGCATAACCTATGACTAGATATCGTGTTAGATGTTGGATATTGTAATATTGTAATATGGCATAAGAGTTGTCTTCTCCTGGTTTTAAAGGCTGCATTGCAGCAGAAATATGTAATTTCTGAACTTACAAGACTGATCTAACTGTCTATTATTTGCCTTTATTCACCTAGTCATTACTGATGATTATTTATCAAAACTCTCACTGTGTCAATATTGGTCAACCAATGGTCAATTGGCTTACAATAACGTTGCAATATTGATATTTAAGGCATTTGGTCAAAAACATTGTGATATTTCATTTTATCCACAACGCCCAGCCCCAAGATATGTGAAGAATGTGGCTGAAGAAAAGGAATAGTTATTTTTGTCATGCTTTGAGTGGAATGATGAAACATTCTTGAAAAGTGCTGTGAATACCAATGTATAAAGATGTTTCCCTTGGAATGGCAGGTGCTTGCTCTCCATTTCTTTTTCTCCAAATGAGACTGAGCTGCACACAGAGACTCTAAGCAGTGGCGTCATTACGGCTTTACTAACTCATATTGACTAACGCGCCGCCAATCTGCTTCTTGTCTCGCCAGATATTATCTTTAGCGACACACGTGTAGCATCTTAATGCATCTTTAAATCTCCTGTCATAAGACACTGTGAGACCAATGCAGGTTGCTAGACACCAGCGGGCATTGATTACAAGTGTCTTTGGACGTTCAACAGTGGAGTTACTATACGGCACAGCCAGCACAGACTGATGGTGGTGGAGTATGTGCGCTCATTATTTCAGGCTTTTCACGCTCCCCGCCTAAGACCAAGTATTTCCATGTGCTGATTAAAGGTGAGATGAGCATGTTTAACGTGGTGTCTTTTCAAGCTGGCTGTGCTGGGCTCTGCAAGTCCTCAACACCTCTCTGGCTCCTCTCTTGAAGTGTAAATAGGCTCACACTGCTCCCCCCCTCCTCCTCTCTTTTCTCCCTTCTCCTTTGCTCTGCCAATCCTGTCACTCACAAAGAGATGTGACTGTCATAGTATGCACACCGCAGCGGTATAATAACTGATGGGAGAAAACCACATCTTATGGAAAAGCATCTTCTCCTCAGCGGGTCATAACAAATGATGCATTTTATTTTTTTTAAAATCTGAACAGAGGCTGACATGCCTTACCTTTACTTGACCTGAGGTTTGAAGCCTGAGGCTCTGAGCGGCAAGGATGATCCAGAATACCTGAGTTTCTATGCGGTCAGATGGTCAGACAACATGTGCTCACAAAATGAGTCTCGGGCAGAGTAATTCGGTTATCGGTGTTGCTATTCAATCACCTGCTCACTGCAGGTGACTCTCGGATAAAGATAACGTGGTGACGCTCGGATAAAGATGATGTGGTGACTCGAGTGGAAGCCGACATGTAAACACACATATCGATGCATCACTAGCCGAGCCAACCCTTTTAATATTCATCGTACAGACAAGTCTCTGAAACTGTATAGCCTTAAGAAATACGGTTAACCCCAATACGTACAGAAAAACAGCTATTAAGTATAAGTGTCTTGAGTACGGCAGCAAGCACTCATCGACATTCAATGGTTTGGATATTCTTTAAGAAATTATTTTGGAGGTTAGACTTGAAAGCTTTTGGTAAGTTGGCCATTATGGCCTCCACATCTTTCATTTCCACTTAAGTGAGGTAGAATAGCAGACGGTGGCTGAAGGAAAGAAATTGTTATTTTGAGAGCAATGATGGAACATTCTTGAAAAGTGCTGTGTCCTTGAACCCATCAATACTCCTGAAGAGCATTTACAAAGAGATGAGTGTTGTGGTGGAAGAAAGGGTTTCTCTCTCTGAATAATAGGGCTTGTTTAAATCAATGAATTTATCTCATGTTTTTAAGAGTTCTTTTAGGTGCGTCGTTTACTTTATAACACAATCTTAACCTGCTGTGCAAAGTGTTGTTTTTTTTTTTTAAATGATGGATGTGATGGAAGGTGAAAGGGAGCATAAAAGGCATCCTTTGTTACGTGAGCCCAGTGTTACCTCCTGCCAAGTGCTAATGTTTTGTCCTAATGAGAAGTCAAAGGTGGAATAATGTCACATTATGTAAATATAATGTGACAGAGAAGAGGTGATTGTGGTTAGGACTGATGATAATATCTAGGATGGCTTCTAAAACCTTTATCTCCTGCTTCCCTTAAATAGCCGAAGACAGCTTTGTGTGTGATACTCTAAGATTAAACTTTAATGATCCCTGTGGGGAAAATGAGATCGCTGCAGCAGCAAATAGTGGTAGAGCAAAATAAAGAAAACTGAAAAAGGCACAGAAAAATACATTATAAATAAGAAATGTGCATTTTAATGGTTATATAAACACATAACTAATATCACTAGAGTATGTTATAGCATTATGGATTACAGAATAACTAGATCACAGGGACAAAACAATATGCGACGACCGTGGAACACGTGCAAATTAGATAGGTAGAAGCATGAAATCATCAAACGACTTGCAGTTTATAAAAAATGTGAGTCGGCAACAATTTAGGACTGAAATAAAAAAGACAACAGAGACCATTGAAATGCTTATCCGTGTATTTACTTTTTACAGATCTACACACACTTATTAAACTGCCTTTTCCAACTTACTCTTTATGACTTTATGAATATAGAAATTACTTTTGTTTGAAACTTTGTTTGGAAAGTTGAAGCACTGCAGGAAAATAATCAAATGTGAAAATTACAACCGCAAAGTTCACGCTGTTCTTGCTTCAACCTGCGAATTCTTTGAGCACACATGTACAGTATATTATTCTTGCTTCAAGTGAGTTACTTCAGTGAGTTGTGTTCTCCAGTCACCTCCTGTCAGACCACCTTGGTTGGTAGAAAGAAATGGACAGTATGTTTTGCCAGGGACTGATGGTGTCTTTGCCCTCGCAGATGGTCATTGAATGGGACTCTCATAAATCTGGGCCTGGATCGCCGGCGGCGTCTGTCTGGGGGCAACCTCATTATAAGCAGTCTGGACCGCTACCAGGATGTAGGACTGTACCAGTGTATGGCGTTCAACACTGTAGGAGCTATCCTCAGCAGGAGAGCAAGTCTGCAGTTTGCCTGTAAGTTGAAGTCAGTGTTTGTCACTTTTTATCAAGAAATGGTATGGAAGTGTAACTGCACTTAGCAAAAGATGCAGACAGATGCCGAACTGGGTGGCCGATATTTGCAATATTTATGAGGGCTGCCACATTAAATGCTGAAGTAACATGGGGGCGGCTTAAGCGTGATGACTGTTCTTTACTCGTGATCGTACATGCACACTAAGAATGACTACAAAAATCTGTGGTGTTTTATTGGGTATACTCTAGGGTAAAGTAGTCAACCAAATTCCTAAATGTAGTGCATGAAGAATACCTAAAGAAGGGCTAAAACTATAGTTTGACTGAATTATAATATGCTTCTTTCTACCGACATAAGAAAGGAGAGTGATGCAAATCACTAAATTTTAAAACAACTGCATTGCCACAAAAATAAGACCGTATATACAAACTGCGATTTGTCTCACATCTTTGGTGGTGAAACCAGCAAGAATCTTCAATGAAATAAGAAATGAATACTTACTATTGATGTTCTATCCATTAAGGCTCCTTCTATTCATGCACATCTCAACTAAATAACATTTCACACCTTCTCTTGGCGGGATCCGGCCATGCAGATATTTTTGGTTGTATTTGACAAGCTTTAAAGATAAGCACTGCTGAGACATAATAACTTTAAAAAAAAACTCAACCACGATGAGTGTTTGCAGAAATAATTTCTCGGTTACACTGTATTATCTACACGCCTCTCTGATAGAAGTTTTACCTATTTTCACCTTCAAACGAACATAGTCTGACTGAAAACTTTGAAAGTGATTAAAGCCAAGTCTGTGGATTATACAGATATACCTGCACAGCTAAATACCACCAGGGGTAGGTAGGAAAATGTGTGTGTGCTTTTTGTGATCCTGATCCTTTCACTATAAGCATGCACTGAACAACTGTGTTTTTTATGTGACCTTATATAATAATAATAACAAGTAATTGTTACTTTAACATACTAGTATAGCTACACAATACTACATTATACCACATTATGCCAAGGTCAAGTGGTTACTCAGCTTTCTTAGACATGTACACAACTGGAGTTATAACCCGTTCTTACCAGTCTAGCTCTCATGTCATAAAAAAACTACATCAAATATCGCATTCAGGTCCTGAGCTAAAATTTCTGCACTGTATTTTTTGTGCTTTACAAAACCCCCTCATATGAACAGGCACTTTTCTCTGTGTCTCTCTGTGTCTCTCTGTGTCTCTCTGTGTCTCTCTCAGGCATTCGCCGAGGTGCAATTCTCATGACAATTTCCTCATGGGCTTGTGCCAGTGTCTTGCTGAAAGCTTTGGCTCAGCTCTGTTTCCACTCTGATATGTGAATATCCGGCAGTGATCTTTCTTTTCATTTTTCTTTCCCCCTCAGACTTAGATCATTTCAAAGTCCACACCAGAAGCGCAGTGTCGGTCCGCGAGGGACAAGGAGTGGTGCTTCTTTGTGGAACGCCCACTTCCTCAGGAGGTAAACGATCACCGTAATCTCCATCTGTGCAGTTCTTTAAAGTTCCTTTATATAATCCCATCTAATGTCACGTTGTATTCTATCCACGATCATCTGTGTCCCTGTTTTGTCCTCCAGACCTTACGTATGCATGGGTCTTCAATGAGTACCCGTACTTTGTTCAACAAGACAATCGACGTTTCGTCTCCCAGCAGACGGGAAACCTTTACATTGCCAAGGTGGAGCCCACTGATGTGGGTAACTACACTTGCGTCGTGATGAACAGCATCACAAAGGGCAAAGTTCAGAGCTCACCCACGTCTCTGATCCTCAGGACAGATGGTAAGACTCAGCCCGCAGCCATGATGTGACAAGTATGCCTCTCAGCCTTGTATTGAGGACCTTTTCCTTTCAAGGTGGCTTTAATCATCGTACTTGCATGAGTGCTCTTTGTCCTGTCGTGCCTCGCTGTGGTTGAGTCACCGAGCGCTAATGCTTGTAAGTAAATAGTTGCTCCTCAATGTAGGCCAGCAAACAAAGCACCCAAATCTCTTCTTTGCTGACTTAGCTTTCTTATGATTCGCATTCCCTTTAAAAGCTTTCCCCGTGCTTTCACTTCTCAAGCCGGCTCTCTTTGCTCTGTTGTTCTATTCTATGTTACGCCTTCATGGAAAGAGTGAATAAAGATTGCCTCGGAATGAATTAAACATGAGCCGTACGTCACTGGACCATTACATTGAGTGTTCTGGTGGCTCAACCAGTTAGTTTCCACTCAACGTACTGTACATGTAGCTGAATAGATTTAAATCTCATCGCATCGCTTTCTGATCCCGGCCTTGACTGTCTTAAAGACTGATGCAAACAATAAAACACCAGAGGTTGCCCACTCAAGTTCTGAAACAATAGATAAACAGCCAGACTAGCTGGAAAAAAAAACAAGATTTCAAATTCCACTCTGTCTATTCCACCAAGAAGAGATTTACATTTTTCCTCGCTGGTATTTCACTGCACTCTCGCGACTGCACATTTAAGTGATGTACTACTTTGAGTTTACCCATGAGAGAATGTTTGCTCATGTGTCTTTTATTTCTCCTCTGTTAGTTTTACACTGCTATTGTTTGGTCCGTAATGCAAGCCATATTGCTTGTAAGTCATGAATAATGGAAGACTGAGCAAGTTCTTGTGCTTGCTCTTCATAGGAGTGATGGGCGAATACGAGCCGAAAATAGAAGTTAATTTCCCAGACAATGTCCCCGCCGCGAAAGGATCAACAGTTACGCTGGAGTGTTTCGCCCTCGGGAAGTAAGCTGAATTCCTTGAAGCATGTTTTCAATCTTCTGCTGTCTTTCATTCCAGGCCTCTGGATTTCTATATAGTAAAGTCACCGTGGCAATTATATTTCTTAGAATATGGCGTCAAGCCATGTTTGGTCAGAAAATCATGTGAGACAGCTTTTTTTTCTGTTGTCGGATCGGGGTAACTCCAAACCATTCATCAGAAGGGCAAAAATACAGTGAAAAGGCTTTTAAGCTCAATCAAATACTTTATTGCTGCCAGATTATTACAGACACCTGCAACCTGAGTGACAGTCTTGAAAAGGAACTTGAATCAGAGTCTCTGCTGAGGCTTTTGTTCCTCTGTCTCTTCCAGCCCTGTCCCAGAAATCACCTGGAAGAGGGCTAACGGCGTTCCCTTCCCCAGTAAAGTCAAAATGAAGTACTCGAATGCGGTGATGGAGATCCCCAGCTTCCAGCAGGATGATACAGGAGGATACGAGTGTGTGGCTGAGAACAAGATGGGCAAGAACATAGCCACTGGTCGACTGGCATTCTATGGTACGGTTGTTCAGGCTTGCTAAGACAACACAAAACATGTTACTGATATTAAGAGTTGTGTTACATCTTTGTTATGGTCCATCCATCCTGCTGTTGCCGTTAGCATGTGACACCAAGAATAGTTTGAAGTGGTTGAGAGTTGTTATTCGGTAATATGATAATAGTTATAATTTTAACAGCTCATTGTTACATACACAGCCGGGGAAAAAGTCATTACTTACTTGAGCCATGGCTTACTGAATCTGTGAGAGAGGGAAAATGACACCTGTGTAATTGGACTTGATGGTATGTAAAGTGCCCGCGAAGTGAGCTTATTATGAGCACAACACTCTACCCATGAAAATTCCTTAAAAGCTGTAAATATGTAAGAGGTAAGAAGCCAGGGGGTTGTGTGTGCTGGATGGGAAACAGACCGGGGTGATCTTTATTATACACAGAATTAAGGTGACAGGTTGGGGTGAGCGGAGACGTCGGGTGCACTTCAGCCGTCATGGGAGCATTTCTGCTTTGTGGCGCAGTGCTTTGTGCTAATCTCGAGTTGCCACAGGCTGCTGACATATTTAAGTGATGAAACTGAGTGATACCCTACATTCACTGCTCTCTCCTCTTAAAAGACAAACCTGTTCTCCACAAGCTTTACGATTTCCACTTATTTGAGCTGTCAATCTACGCATTGCTTTCCTTTGAACTATTTTGGATGAGGACTATTTGGTGAGATAATACAGCTCCTTTAAAATCTGTCCCCCTGGTTTTCTGTCAGATAATTCTCAGGAGTATATTTCTGTTCCCTCAGCCAAGCCTCAGTGGATGCAGGCCATGAAGGACACAGCCCTGGCCATAGAGGAGAGACTATACTTGGAATGCCGAGCCAACGGCAAGCCCAAACCCTCCTACACATGGCTGAAGAACGGCCAACAGCTACTCTCAGAGGTAAATTACTGCCTGTCTTCCGCCACCTACCAATGTTTCATTTTAATGACTTAATCCTCAGCTTCAGTTCATCCTTTCACTCTAGAGAGCCTGGCGTCAAACGCGCGGCTGTTTTTCCAAATGCAATTCAGAGCGAGAGGAGAGGGTAAACATCTGAGGTGTGCCAGTGATGAGGCATGGATGTAACTGTCTCTTATTGTGCTCTACCTTGGCAGATTACACAGTCTTAGTGAGTGGATCAGTGTAGTCCCTGGGAGATTGCTCCATTTCATTTGAATGGATTCGGTGGTTGTTTTTCATTATTCATGGTGCATGTTTTAGCTCTTCCAGATTTAAGGACAATGAGTTTAATCTACTGTGAAATACACTGTGTACCACTGCATACCTTACAAAAGACCACCAGGGAAATACACAGTGTTAAACTTGACTTGTTGTTTTATTTTCTTAGTAGCATTTCATAATGCTCAGAGCAAGTCAGATTTTGTCATTAAAATACCTTTTTTAAATGCCATTCTTTAATTTGATTTATGAATATAGTGGTGCAGGATGCCATCAGTTAATAACCAACATCTGTCATTCTAAACTCACGAGGAAAAACTGTGCAGGTAAATATCTGGTATCCAATCATGTTTAACAGTAATAAGTTAGTGTTTTAGTTTTAATATGGTGCAGGATTTAGAATGTGATAACCTTTTTTTCTCTGTTCAAAGAGCAGTATTAGTTTCACTAGTTTTCATGATTTCAGTTTCAGATTTACAGTATATGGCTTATGATAAGCATACTGTTGTGTGAATGCATATTCTTTCATTCAAAGAGAGAGCTTAATCCTCACACGCCACACAGCAATAATATGAGATGGGACTGTGATTCGTTTAGCAAAAACCTTACACGTAGCACCTCAAACAACATCTATTCTATCAATAATGTCTGATGATGCATGCACATGTAAAAATAAATTACTTTTATAACAGGACCCTTCATTTAGCCACACATACACAAATCTTACATGCTCAGTTGTCACTACAGGATATTATTACAAGCTGTAAAGACTGGTTTACATGATGGAGAGAACAAGCATGTTTGGAAAAAAACGTTGTTTCAGTTGCTGCAACAAAATCCTGATTTGATCCACGCCCAATGACAATGCCTCGAACCCATCCGATGCATATTGAGCTTTGCCAGAGAGGAAGCTACATTTAAGTCTTAAGCAATAATTGCTTTCTTGTATCCTCTTTCTTCACAGGACAGAATCCATGTGGAGGACGGAGTCCTGTCAGTGTCGGTGCTGACACTATCCGACGCCGGCATGTACCAGTGTGTGGCTGAGAATAAACACGGCGCCATATATTTCGCTGCTGAACTGATGGTTTTAGGTGGGATGGCATTTATCTCTCCCTTAAATCCTCCAATCATTGTTGTCAAAGAATCTTAAAGGTCATTTTACTGTCATTCTTAAAGGTTATCTGGATTAGCAGATAATGGGGTCAGCAAAGAGGGTTTTGTGGGGCCAAACACATTTAAAAAATCTTTTCCCCTTCATGGTATCCTGATTTACTTTGATGTTAAGGTGAGAATGGGGTGATTAATACATAATTCCCAGTCTAACAATAAACAGTAAAACCAATTATAAGATACAATATTTGTTTGGACATATTTGTCTGTCCTCGTGAATCCATTTTCTACATTGAAAATTGACTTACAATCACCAGTAGCGACTCGTTTTTATGTTTATTTTTTTTCCCATCACACATCTTTCAAATGTCTGTCTCCGTTACTTTACAATTTGATGATTTTTGCAGATCAAACTGAAGCACGCCTCAATGCCCTTTGAGATTTGCTGCAGCCTTGCACTAAAGACGATTTACTGTTTCCACACAGCCTCTCCTCCAGACTTCACAGGGAACGTCCTCAGAGCTTTGCTCAAAGCCAAGGCAGGAACTACAGTGACTTTAGAGTGTAAACCACAGGCCTACCCCATCGCCAGCATTTTATGGAAGAAAGGGAACCTGCCTATCCACACCAGTGACAGGTAATGACTGAACTGAAAGTTGCTGTATGTGTTCTGAGACCACTTTTATGATGCCATCGCATTAGACCAATGGCTGTTCAAAGTATACCAATACAACCAATTCAGTATTTTTCCCACCTGAGCCCTTTTTTGTTTTGGTCGAATTGTGTAAGTGCGGTGAATATTCACCAAACTGCTCAATGTCTATGATGACGTAGTACACCGACATGTAGACAAACTGAGAATCAGAGTTTATCTAATGATAAAAAATATTTTATTTGTTCTTGGAAGTTGTATTGCAAAGCTGCTGTCTCTGTTTGTGCACTCCTATAGGATCACACTTTCCCCAGATGGAACATTGAGGCTTGCCAACGTGAGCAAGTCTGATGCAGGCAGCTATACGTGCTTCGCTAGGAATAGATTTGGCATGTCGAGTACAACTGGAAGGCTCCTCGTTACCGGTAAGCTCGGCTGTGAAATAGCAGAATGAACGCTTGTGCATCCCACTGAGTTAGCAGAATGTGTCGCTCAGTCTGGATTAATGCAGGAGAGAGCTACTGTACCATGAGAACTTGAGTCAATAACTGGTGGGTCGAAACATAAACAAACTTCAAGTTTTGCTTTGAGGAGCTTGTCAAAACTAGGGAATTCTCTGTCCTCGAGGGACTCTGCATAATTAAGTAACAGCCTTAAATGTTTTTAGATACATTTTTGAAGTGTTTATTTATTCATTTTAGGGGGGGGGGGTAATGGTTACCCAAACTCAAGTGCAACTTGAAAGAAGAGCTCTTGTTTTTCAGTGAAGTTCTTTTGAGCTGCTTTGTGCGGCTGCATTCTGCCGCGACTGCAATAATGCACTTGGAAGGTGTTTGAGAAAATACTCTATCATTGTTTTCCTCAAAGCGTTTGAAACAACCAATTTACTGCAACAAATGAAAGTGCCCTGAGTGCAGGCAATGAAAGCGCTAGTGAGGAGGTGTTACAGATGCTGTTATTGTCGAGCGTGTGTTTCCAGTGGAGTGATAGGTGAGTGTTCTCTTATTGGTTTTATTAATGTGCTGGACGCTATTGTCGGCCGCTGTAACTGCCAAGGCCCGTTATTTTTTTTTAAATGCCGGGCTTATTTTTCAAGACCATAATGCAGTCAGCGACACAGAGCCATGACCCAGACATTGATTATCACCAGCCTAAGAACTGAGGGGACATTTTTTTACATGTGATTTTCAAATCCCCTCAGCAGATTCATTATCTTGACTTTTGAAGCACGACAGACTGAGCCCAATGATTGCTATTGTAGACTTTGAAGCAGCGCCCTTCATTTTGGTCGTGGATGCACAGAGCAGCCCATTACATGAAGTTTTATCTGATCTGCAGTGTATTGTAATTGCTATCAGGATTTCAGAAGATTATTCTAGCTGTGTCAGCCAGGAGTATTAGGCCATTTTAGTAGTGGCAGGCTGTGTGTTATCACATTATTCGACTAAGACTTTCATGAGACCTTCCTTTTATATAGATAATACTCTGCCTGTGACGTAGTGTATCACAGAGCACGTTCTCCTAAGTGTTGTCTCACTATTGAGCCTCTATTACAGAAAATCAACAACAATACACTGCTCATCTCGTTTCATCTCGCAATGAAATGTCTCATGTTCTGTGTGAGATTGGCAGTCAGAAATGAATTCCTCTCATTTTTTTGTTCTGGGGCAGATCCAACCAGAATCACCCAGGGGCCAGTGGACATGGAGATCATCGTAGGCGAGAGCATCGTGCTACCCTGTCAGGTCGCCAGTGACCCCGTCCTTGACGTTTCTTTCTCCTGGGCCTTCAACGGACAACTCATCGCCAAGGGAGACAGTCACTTTGAGCTAGTGGGTGGGGTGAGTGACCCGCAAGTCATACTTCTTCAGAACGTGTGAATGGGCAGTTGGCACCTCTTCCCATCTTGCTTCACTTCATCCCTGCCATTAGTTAAAAGAGACAGCTTGTGGGTTGACATCATGAAGATTTACTGTGGCTAGTTTTGCTGCAATGGGTGTGATACCATCTTTGTTTTTGCAATTCTAAAGTGTCCATGGAGGCATATTAAGCTGTGGGAATATGGAAATATTTGGACTATTAGATCATTCGGCTATCCCAAGCTTCCAATTGTACTTTAGTGAATGAAAACATAGCTATGCTATGTCCAAATATACTTCCTACATAGACACCATCATGTAGGTAATGCATTAGTTTCTCAGGCATTGTGACAAGTTGTCATCTTTTTGAGTACACGTCTCCTACTCAAGCTCAACCTTCTGAAATTATTATTTTTTTTAAATCTTGATTCTTGAATTATTCTTAAATCCTACTTTAACATAGCCTGCTGCACAGCTCATCATAACAGATACACAGATACACATCATCAGCGGTGTGTTGGCAGAGCCTCAAATGACAAAACACTTTCAGAACACCCTCACACCCTAAGAGATTAGCCATTCTTCATGTGTGTGTTTTGACTGACAATGTTCCTATCTGAAAAGAGACTTCCCCAGAAATGTCCCCAGTCCAAAAAGATTATCAACTTAACTTTGCTGCTTCGAGGAAATTTAATTTCCATAATTAAACCACGTTGGCTCTTCTGCCACATTTCCCTGCCAATACCAAGAGAATGATTTCACCACTAATTTGCCGTTTGCTGCTTACGGGTGTCCTCACAGATGAGAATCCAGAGGGCCTTTTTTTCCCCTCTCCAGTCGAGCAAAAAACAGCTGAACTCAATAGTAATAGCTTATTTGTGTAGTTTCTCGCAACATGTCTTAAAGGTCATGATGATGACCTCTGCAAAAAGCAAAGGAAATAGCAATGGCCTTGTAAGACACAAAACTTCCATTTGCTGCATCACATTTTGGCCTTGATCCTTTTCATCCCAGCTTATCTTGGAAAGAAGTATGTGACTAAAATGCTGTGTCATATTGAGGATGTTATCGTTATGTTTGCCTTTAAAGGCTTTGACTTCAAGAACTCTCAAGACATGCAAAAATATCTTTGCTGTTAAAAATCCTTTCAAAAACAGGCTGGATTTTCCACTGCAAAGTCCGTGCTAAATAACTGCACGATCTGCTCACATTTCTTGGCACCGCTATTTACTGCACCTTATATATGCCTCACTACATCCTTTAATAAGCTGTCAGAAGGTCTGTTATCTTTTATGCTACATAAAGCTTTCTTTCCTCCTTGGTAGAGAGCAGCAGGAGATCTGATGATCAGGAACATTCAGCTTTACCATGCCGGCAAATATATCTGTGTGGTGGACACGGACGTGGAGAGCCTGTCAGCCGTGGCTGTATTGATTGTCAAAGGTAAGAAAACCTCCTCTCCGCTCCGCAGGCACTAATTAAAACAGGGCGAACAGCCAGGATTGTTTTTGAGTTCCTCTTTATAAAAAAGAGGAAAATGCTGGTAAAGTGTACTCTGCATCGATCTAAGTATGTGGATATCTCTTCTATCAGGTCAAAAAAAGGGGGAAATTATAAAATCTACACTTAACTATAAACAGTAGACGGTAAATGGACTGCACTTATGCAGCGTTTTTCTACCTTAACGTACAAAACGGTTTACAATTTGCCTCTCGGTCACATGCATACTCACACATCGAGAGGCAGAGCCGCCATGCGAGGCGCTGGCTTGTCCTTTGGGAGCAACTTGGGGTTCAGAGTCTTGCTCAAGGACACTTAGACATGTAATAGTGATAAAGTGGGTGATAGATGTAGCCAACAACCCACAATAAAAAAACATGTCTGTACTCTGTAAGGGTTAACAATAAAGCTTTGTTGATAATATACATTTATGGTGACATTATAGGAATATGCATTACTGACAATATAAAGAATGCTGGACTGTCGGGGCATATAATGCTCACTTATGGTTTTAAAGTCAAATGGGTTTTGTCTCAGCCAGTTATTGCATTGCGACCAAAATGCCCATATCCTCATAAAAATGATTGCGGATGTCCACAGCTTTTATATCCTGCTTATTTCTAGTAGCAGTCACTTGATTACATCAAATAGAGGAGGCTTGCCTTTCTTTCAAAATGCATTCGGGGATGTTTGTGGAAGATGACTTGACAAAACTGTGGGAAAATGTTCCGTCTCTTTTTAATGACCAATTTTCAATATTGTGGCAATGTACTTGACAGTAGAATGTTTAGATGCCTGTCTGTGCTCACTCATGCAGCATGTATAACTCCAGAGAGACACACGATTGTCAAGAGCTACATCGGGCAGAACAAAATAGAACAACTTTTGTTTTGTGTTTTGGGTAGGGGCAGATTGATGTGCGGTGTGCAGAGTGAGAGAAGGAAGGTATCTGGCTTTGATCAATACGTCAAGTAGCCCAGCAAATTGACATTACGCAAATGTGTTAAATGTCAGATGAGGTGAGGGATGATATTGGTGTCAGGATTTGAAATGGTTGGATCCATATCTTTATCTTGTAAGGATACCCACCGGTGATTCAGCTTGACATGTTAAAGATCTTCAAGGCAAATGCCATTAATAAGCACTGCTTTGCAGTTGGCTGAGGACTAAGTGGAAATAAGGCTGTTTCTCAAGCAGAAGCAACATCAAGGCCATGGAAATGGATTGGCCTGGTATTGACTGGGGAGAAACTTGTCTGTGATTCAGATTGTGCATTATTTACACTTCCTGCTCGCGGCAGCTGTCATGGATGTCTCGTTGTTTGGATCGAACTTCTCCAAATGTTGAGCGACTAAGCATGAAGCTGGATAGAGAACGAGTCACGGAGGGCAAAGAATGGCGTTGCTTGATCACAACTGCAGCCCTCTAACAAACTGACAAGTGGTCACGTGTCGAGTATCCTGTTTGGAAACCCCCACTACCCATATACCTATGACCCATGAAGGACACATTTAACACGTTCAAATAATGTGCAACACCAATTATTGCAGTATATGAACCATCCAAGGTACAAGCTTTGGTCCCCCATTTTACAAAGTTGAAGACACGTTTTCTACCTCACCTCCGGTGTTATCCAGCCATGCAGGTACTTTTTGATTTGCCCAGGTTGTGTCACATCCCATTTTGAGAATGAAAACACCTCAATACAATGGATAATAACCAGTGGTGGAAGAAGTAGGCCTGTAAAAATACAAAAAATAGTCTTGCATAAAATGTCTTACCTAAGTAAAAACGTGTTATGTACTTAAAGTATCAAAAGTAAAAGTGCTCATGCAAAGAAATGGCTCCTGTGACAGATATATCTTTATATATAACATGAGATTAATATTATGTTACTAATACTATTGTAGTTTCAACTATTTTTAGTAGTTGTGTCACAAGAGTCACAAGATAAATCTGAGGGGATATGAAATTATTGATGGGCTGGAAAAGTAGAAAAAAACAAAGACATACTAGATTAAATGTTTTCATTTTTTTCATTCATTTTTCTTTAATTTTCGCTTATTACAAAATATTGGGCTCAAACTTTGGAGGAACAGCTAAACAACTCATGGACATCTGAAAAATGTAGGGATTGCACAATGTATTGTAATTGATTTTTATATTTTTTACATTATGCTTTAGTCTGTGAAGGAATAATAACTATCAGATAAATGCAGTCGAAGAAAAAGCACACTATTTGCCTCTTACATGTAATGGATTAGAAGTACAGTACTTAAATACAGTACTCAAGTAAGCATACTTTTTGCCACTAACACATTTTCAGAAATAGTATCCCTGTCCCCAATTGGAACTACTTTCTACCAGAACATCTTCCTGTGCTGTGTGGATTATCCAAAGCAATTTGGACACTGAATCTGGACAGAGATGTTGCTGTCAAAGCTGCTAGCACCATTTTAAAAAATCCATTGACTCTCTTTTTTTTTGGGGTGGAGGCAGACATCTCAGAGACAGGTAGCTCAAAACCTTGACAAATTAAACTAAAACTTTCCACATGGCTATCCCATGGCTACATTTAATTTTAATGTTAAGACAACAATGTGAATAATGCAGCACTCGTTTGACTGTGATAATGAGTGTGTCAATGTGTTGTCGCTTTAAGCGAGCGCGAGTGTGATCGCAGAAACAGATATAGACTTTTATGATAATGCTGATTATCGGTGTTATTGGCAATAGATGCATTATTGCAATCGTGTAATATATCAGCCATTGAAAGCAGCTCAGTCATTTTGCAGGGTGCTATTTCCGATCCTGTCTCGCTCCACTCGTCTCGCGGCACTGAAGGTCAATGATAATCGCTCCTGACACAAAGACTCTTGAGTGATCATCTGGATGCTTGTTTTTCACAATGGCAATGGAAAATGTTTTAGATGCCACTCCACGAGGCCTTGCAAACACTCCACCGGGTGGTGTTGGTTACGGAGAAGGTCATGTTATACAGATAACATCATCGTCATTAGCATTCAAACCACTCGGTGAGCACTCGTGCTTGTTTGACAGTTGCATCATCATCATCATCGTCGTCCACCTGGAAGACAGTACAGAGGGCAATACACCAACTATACGACATTTAGTAGTGTTTCATCACTTTTATAACATACTATTATTCAGGTTCCCATCTGGCGATTGTGACGGCGTATATTACAAATATGGGTAATATTCAATCCAGATCAAAGTAATACAATACACCGTGTCTGTAAGTTTTCATAATACAGCCAGATATTAATTTGCCCCGTGCCAAGTTCATAATAAAAGCCCAGACAGTCTGTCCATATTAATAACAGATTATTTGAACACCCTCAAGACACTGACAGCACCCTCTTGCCTCAGCCAATGAAATATAATTAAGAGGATAAGGAATTGATCCTTGATTGTGTGCCCCATTAATATGTATTACTGAAGCCAGTGTATTAAATTTTTTTTTTAATCAGGAGCTGCTAATGAGTTTTACAAAGATCAATATCTCTAAAGCCAGGGCTGTAAGGCCAAATGTTTGTGGGCTGCACGTTCAAGGCTTCGGTAAACAAAAAACAAATGTAGTTCAGCAGTTACTTGTTCAGCATACGTGAATTTATAGATTTGGCAAGTACATGCTGCATAAACCATTAATTGTGTATTAAAATAATCATTTGACGCTTTAATAATTAGAATATTTCGCTTCAGATTAGAAACCACTCCAGAGTCGGTGAGGAGTATGAGCGGAGCTAGGGGCGTTATTATTCCGCGGTCTGTCTCAAAGCTCTCTAGTGGTCTATTATTTCTGATGAGCCGACACGTTCATTAGAACAGGAAACAGAAGATGAGGCTAAAGTAAAACATCACGCCGCTTAATTGGTAGGATAATGAAAATAAATGATAAAACTCTGGTGCTTCAGGGCTATGAGGCCCTTTTTCATCTTTTACCTTTTAATTTGAGTCCCTACATCTACTCACATCTGCTGTTTCATCGATCAATTACCAGGAGGACCATGAAAGGGAAGGAATACAAGTTGGTTGAATACTGGAGGATAAATCTTGAATTCACTTTTAATTCCTTGCGAAGGGCATAAACTTCTAATCAAACTCGCTCTTGCTAATGTTTTAAGATATAAAGGCATAGTAACCTCTTAAAGCGATATAGTTTAGGTGGAGGTGTTTTTAATGCAAATGTGTTTGCTGTTCATGTTTTCCTCACAGTACATGTGAGTGCACACATTTACATCCACATTCTGCAGTCTGGTCTGTGCCTCTGCGTGTGCAAGTACCTCACAGTGTCTGTTCCTGTGATTGAGCCAGGCCCCCCCAGTCCTCCAGACTCTGTGACGGTGGAGGAGGTGACAGACAGCACAGCCCAGCTGGCCTGGAGTCCCGGCAGACACAACGGCAGCCCAATCACCAATTACCTCATCCAGACCAGGACTCCCTTCACCGTGGGCTGGCAGAGGGTTAATACAGGTGGGCAACGCTTGAAGATGAATTTTCATCTTATTCCACATGTGATGCTACTCAGATAATTCATGGATCCCCACAGAGAAATACTCTTACTTCTCTTCCCGCATCAGCGGGGAGGTGAGAGAGTAGGGTCAGCTACAGACCGGAGGCTCAGGTAATGGTCGGGGATTCAGGGTCTTACTCAAGAGAACATAAGGTCATTGTTGCTGCTTTTACATGATCTCATTTAAACCACTTAAATGACCTATACATCTGCCAAAGCCAAAAGCCTTTTTCATCTGCTGAAGTCAAGTCTGTGCGGATGTCTTCTTGAGCTCTTGTTGCTATGGAGGTTTAATGCCCCCATTGCAAGCGTGCCTGCCAAATGAATGTAATAAAATAAAATACATTTTATTAGTTTATTTGACAGGGACAGTGGTCATTGTTTAACGGAAAACTGTAAATGAGCCATAATTAGCCTAAAAGGTTCATTTTTATTTGTTGTCCTTTGCTAAATGATGAAAAGGCCCCCAAGAAATAGCATAAAACAACATATATATATCTTTGTTTTTAAAATTAATATACAAACCATAGACAATAGAGTACAGTATACATCCACCAATAAGTAATACCGAAATATAGCACACAGTAGTTAGCTACAACCCCTGCTAAATAAGCAAATAAGAGAAAAGAAAACAAGGGAAAAGTTGAGTTAAAGTTGCTATAATACATTTTTTTTATTTTAAAAAGGGATCAAAGGACTATGGGTATTGTATAAGGGGTCACCTCAGTTTTACAAACTTTTTTACTTCACTCTCACCATCAGGTTATTTCAGCGAACAATGTAGAAACTAGCGAAGTGGAGCATTTAGCACATAAAGAGCCAGAGTCTTCTCTCAGGAGTTGGTAGAGACCTTCCAGTAAACATACCTTACCTCCGTCGTCCGCCTTTCACCCTTCGTTAGTATTAAGGAGCAGTTAGTTAGCGGCGTCCTCCTCTGAGCTCATACGGTCCCTTTTAAGAATTTTAACACTCGTATGTCAGTTATTTTACAGTGTTGCTGCACAACACAAGGGAAGGAAAGCAAGGCAACATTTCTGTGGCAGACCTTTTACAAAGCTCACCTCACATTCATCACAAAGTCAACCTCTTTTTCCTTTAATTATTTTGTAATTGTGTATAGATTTGGTTCTCTTGTTTTATTCCACATGTTCAGCTATTTTAATGATTATATTTATATAGTGCATGTTTTCTGTTTTATTCCAGTCCCAGAGCTAATCAATGGGAACACACTGACAGCCACTGTAGTGGACCTCAATGCCTGGGTGGAGTATGAGTTTCGTGTTTTGGCCAAAAACAGTGTTGGGGTTGGAGAACCTAGCCCTGTGTCAGTCAAGACCAGGACAGAGGATGCAGGTACAGTAAATGTGATTCACCTTTTTGCCCTCAAATAATTAGATCTTATCAAATAGTAAGTGATCTTCAAAAAGAAAAAAAAAGGTTTTTGGATTGCCGTACTCGTTTTGTTCAATTTTCGCAAGCCTGAAGTGTTCCTCACATGGAGGTCTGTGTTGTGCAGTTCCTGATGCAGCACCAGGTGACGTGGGTGGAGGAGGTGGAAGCAGATCGGAACTGGTCATCACATGGGAGGTAAGCCATCAGTCTTATGCTCTAGTCTGTTACACAAAGTGCCTGCAGTTAATCTTTTTTATCCTTGAGTGAGGTGCTTAATATTTCTCGCTAAATCAAACCCCCTGCTCTGTTTTGGCTTGCGGGTGTCATAAATTTTGGGGGCAATTGAAGTCTGGCGCTGCAGTCGTTGTAATTTCTTAGTTAAAGAGTCAGCATGTAAGGCAGCAACAATGTATACACAAGCGGAACACTTAATCTGACAGTTATTGTCATTAATGAGTCTCGGATCTGTGCTGAATTACTGTTCAGCCAAATCTGCAATGCTCAAATCTAGTAAACTAGTATAGGGTAGTTGAAAAATAATAGAATAGTGTGGAGACTAAAGAAGTCATTAGTTTGCTAAATCTGTCTCATCATTTGAGTTTTCTCATTTCATTTAATGCAGAAACAACTTCTAGTTTTAAAAGCTGCACGGACGTTTCGTAATGAGATTAGATTTTTTTTCAAATGGCATTTTGCTGCTCATTTCAATTCGTCAGGTGGGTCACAAAAGCAATTTGTGGGTCACGCAGTTCTTTTGGCACCATGAGAGTGGGTGGTGATTGTGTCAGCCCAGAGGCGGGATGAACGTGAGTGGCTTGTATATGTTTTAATATCACTATAGTTTTGTGTTTCACTCTCAGCCTGTCCCCGAAGAACTACAGAATGGTGAGAGCTTTGGTTACATCATTGCTTTCCGCGCCTTCGGAGAAGTTAGCTGGACTCACGTGGCCACCTCTGCCCCTGGTGCATCGCGCTACGTGTACCGCAACGACAGCATCACGCCCTTTTCTCCGTTTCATGTCAAGGTTGGCACTTACAACAGCAAAGGACAGGGTCCCTTCAGCCCCGTGGTCACCATCTACTCTGCAGAGACTGGTAAGGGAATGGACGTGAGTTGGGCTTTTGCAAAGCTGCAAAGCTTTCTCTGTTTTTGAAAAGGACAAAGACGAAAATGGTTGTATTGCATTTACTGGGCTGAAAGCGCTTGATAAATAAAGAGACTTGCTGGAAAATGAATTTGTTGAAATCTTTTTACACGTAAAAAAAAAAAGGACAGAAAAACGTGCAACATGTTTATGTAAGGATAGGCAAAAGGTCTCCAAATATCACCACTCTTTTGAATGGCTGTTCTGAAGTGAAAGCCGGTTGGCATTTAGATCTATGCTACCTCTGAGAGGGGGGTCAGTCTGTAGTGTCGTGTTGGACTATTTACAAGCAGCACCTGTGTGTGTGATGAATCATTCAAGTAGAGATCAACAAGAACAGTGATACATGTAAAAATTCAAGAGATTTGTTCTGCTTGTGTCTGTTGGAAGAAGGCGGCAATGCTCAGTCTCTTGTCGTCTGTTCTCAGAGCCAAGCGGGATGCCAGCAGGAGTTTGGGCCAGAAGTGTCTCTGCCTCTGAGATTGAGGTGAATTGGCAGGCGCTCTCCTTCTCCCCTGAAAGGGTTCTGGGCTATGAGGTATATTTTATTCTTTTAAATGGAAATAGAAATCACACACGCACACACACACAACACAATTACAATGCTTGTCATCACCCCTGTTGTACCTCAGTGCCATCACTTCCAAACTCTGCGTCGCCATGGAAATGGCTGTTTCAGTTGGGGCGACTGTTATAGCCGAAATGATACAGTTTTTTGTACCGATACGACGGGAAAAAAACATGTCGGAGCATTTTTTTTTAGGAGAACAAAAGGAAATTGCCCTTTCCCCATGCCTTTTCAAGTGGCTATCAATTATTGGTTATGGGTACCGTCATACAGAGCTCATGATAGTCTGTGCTGCAATATCAGACCTCGGCGCAGAATACCAAGAAATGCCCTCTCACCAAAAACTGCATAATTATACTAAGAACAGCCTTCTGTTGTTTGTTTTTACAGTCCAACAAAGCAGCACCCTGGGAGTGGAGTCTCTTCATTGTTCACGAAATAGAATAGGAATATTAAATTACATTTTAAACCCGAAAGAGTTGCATTCTATTTCACCTTCAAAAACTGGGACAGCCTGATTGCCTCACCTGCATACTTGTGACTGCTTCATCAGGCTGATCAAAGGGCTTTATTATAAGATGTTGTTGTTCTTTTTTTCCATTTCACATCTGAGCTACCCCAGTGATGTCAACATCAGCTAACATTGAATAATGATGAGAGAAAGGTAGATGGGTGGGGGGGATGGGGGGGATCAGACTGATCTTCAGTCTGATGGTTATATAAGTCACTTGTTTTATGATTGGTAACTTTGGTCGGTATATGATCTGTATTATTTTAATTTAAATGCATATCATGATTAGTCAGATTTTTATTATATTATATTCCGTAATACACAACACAGATGGATTTATTATGTAATTGTTTCAGTGCTACAATACATCAGTCAGTCGAGTGACAAAGAAACCTCGATTGTTCATTTTAATAATTGATGAATCGTTTCAGTCACCAAGCAAAAATGCAAAACTGGTCCTACATCTCGAGCATATGATGCGTCTCTGTTTTATATGATTGTGAATTAAATACCTTTGTGTTTTTAGGTCCTGGTTGGACAAAATAGGATTTTTTATGGTATCACCTTGGGCTTTGGGAAATTATAATGGAATCTTTTATTGTATTTTTTGACATTTTTATGATTAGATAATGTATTATTTACAAAAAAAGAGAATTCACTCCCTAGCGTCACTCTCTCAGTTGCATCTGAACATAGTGTGACATTCAACAAAGTGTTATAAAAGTCCATGAGCAAAGGCTTTCAGAATGTCGGATCAACTATCCTGCTGGAAACATAAAAGAAAGCTGTGATCTCTCTTAAAAGGATACACCCAGAGTCAATCCTTTAACAACACCACATTTCTCCCAAGACATCAGATACAACTACTTGTCACATTTTGCTCCAATCGGAAACAATCTATCACGGTTGAATCCCAGATGACACGCTCTCTGTCTTGAACAGGTGGTATACTGGGAAGATGACACTAAACCAGAGACCATGGGGAAGGTTAGGGTGCCTTGGAACCAAACCTCAGTCACAGTGAGCGGCTTGGCAGGAAACACGCAGTATTTCCTCACAGTGAGCGCCTTCAACACAGCGGGCACCGGCCCCTTCCTCCCTGCAATCAATGTCACCACCAAAAAGCCACGTAAGTTGCAGCAGCCAAGATGCCGTGCTGCTCGGGTGTTTGACTTTGTATTCACACTGGTTATCATCCAAGTAAGATGGTAGAAACAATATATTTCTCTCATGTCATTCTTTGAAGTAGCATAATCCCATAAGAGAAATATGATAATTCTTGTCGAACGAAGTGACAACCGTGTGTTTTTGTGCTGACATACAGAAAATAATTATTTCTAAATCATGCAGCACCAGCGCAACCGCCGCTGAATGTCGAATGGACACTAATTGGCTCTCAGCTGTCTCTTTACTGGGAACCTGTGTTGGCGACGGAATCAGAGTCGGAAGTTACAGGCTACCAAGTGAGTTTTACTCTCTCAATATGCTCCACACTAACATGTTTATTCCTATTATGAGCATGGACCTTACATAAGCTGTCAGACTGTAAGTACATAGCACTATGTGTCACCCACCTTGTTTCTCCCCACCCCCACTCAGCTGTCATACAGGAGACAGAGGCACAAAGAGGTAAACACACTCACAACAGCCAATTCGACAGCAGAGCTGACCCTCCCTGAGGAAGATGACGACTACATCATCCACATTCAGACGCTGAGTGAAGGAGGGCTGGGCCCAGCCTCGGATCCCATACGAATCCACCAACTAAGTAAGCTTGTTGTTCACAGTCGTGGTGGTTAAAACGTGAAGGTTCATGGAACAGTTTAAGTTTGGCTTGCCTCTCATGCCGCCATGTTCGAGAAAAACACAACAGCATGGCAACATTTGAAACAAAGATTCACCGGGACGTCAATCGCTCACAACATCTATATTTTATTATTTACCCGCTCTTCTAAATGAATTCACTTAGCACTTTTTAAACCTGACAGGGACATTTTGTTCTCCGTTGACTCACCATTACTCGTGTCCCCAGCCACCCCCTCCATGGGCTCTTCCAGGCTCATATTTTGCAGAAATATCCAGCGCAATCCATCTCTGTCGCAGAGGTTGACTTCCTCTTTTACTAGATGCTATTACTGTCCTGTGGGACTCCAGGGGGGCTCCTCTTCGGCTCTAAATGCTAATTTGCATTGTTGATATTCTGTGTTGAATCCCTGAAAATAGCAGTTGAGAGAGATTGAATTCCACACTGGCTTTTCTTTTAAATTTCATTTGAAAAATAGGCTACTTTTCTTTTCTTTTCTTTTTTTTCCGAGACTCTTTGGATACTGAAAAGAAAAAGATGTGGGCAAAACACATTAGTAAGCAAAACAGAGTGCTGTGTTTATAGAAACTAGTAGTTCTGAAACATCAGAAGTGATTCGGGAGGTTTCTTATGCATAAATAATATATATTTCTTCCAGGAAAGGGTTTTATATGGATGTCATTACAGGGAAATATGCAGTGATCCATAGGAACTAATTGACTCACTTAAATCATACATGAGAAACTAGTGATTAGAGCAAACTGCATCAGGCTCCTGGACCGTTACACCCAACTCCCTTAATACATTTTTTACTTACAATCGCAGTCATAAGCCAGTACATGAATACGTTTTTTACCACATTTTAAGTTCCCCCGTGAAACATCAGTATGTGTGATTTATGATTTGGAAATTTAAGTATCTCATTTTCAGTTAGAAGGCAAATCTGTTTTCAGCTGTGTCTGCAGGTAACATAGCTGAGAGCTCAAACTTAAGATAAGGAATACCATCCGCGTCCTCCAGCAGGTTTCACATCAGTTTATCGTGTGTGTTTTTTTGTGTTCCAGGTATGAGTGCCCGCGGCTCCAGAGCCTGGAGTGCGTACATCTCCCCCATCTCCCTGCTCGTCGCCATCGCAATATCAACATCCAGGTCAACGTCGTGACACCATGACAAACTCTGCTCGGTTTTTCAACCTTCTTATTGGTATTTTTTTTTTTTAATGAAATTTGTGAAAGTTGCTGAGTTTTTTCTCTAATTTTTGGAGGTGACCACATACGATTTTGCAGTGATAGATTGCGGGTATGAGGCAGCACAAGAGTGGAGCGTGCTGTCAGGCACTTGATTTAACAGTAAATGCTTGAGCTTTTTCTTCACGTAGGTCTGACATGTTTGCAGGTTGGAACAATGCTCCATTTCAACTCTTTTTTTGTTGTTTCGACTCTAGATTGATACAGATGCCTTACTTCCATCCATGTGCCAAAGTAGTTTCAGCCTACTTGTTGTTGCTAAGACAGCTTGTTTCCTCAACATTTTATTCCTCACAGTTTCTTATTATTGAAGGTCTCAGTGTACCTTGCAGAGGGCCGTGAAGAGAAGTTGTATTTTGTATTTTTGAATATTTTCAGTTTTCCTCTCCACACCTGAATTGGCGAGTAGGAACATGTTTATTCACCCGTGCCCGTGCCTTTGGAGATTCTTGTGACGCCGCCACTCATCGACACTAGTCAGTCAGTGTTCCAGAACGTTCCGCCTTCATCTTACCCTGCTCCATTAAAGTTGTCCCAGATGAAACACATAAAAACAGCTCACAGTGCCAGTGTTAGCCATTTACCTTTCATTATTTGATTGTGCAGAGCTGAATGTGTGCCATGAGGTTTTAATGGCTCAGACCAGCTATTGTGATGGCCTGCTGATTGATGGATTGGACTTAACTCTGCATTCACAAAGATTACATCTGCCTGTATACAGCAGTAGTGGGAGAGGTATGCGACTGCCAGTGTATTTCCTTCAACGCTAATGCTGAAACAATCAGTCATTCACCAGGAAATAATCAACAACAAGTCATTTTGGTCATTCATCAAGGAAAAAATGCCAAACACACCCAATAAGTGTGCGTTCGATTGCAATCCATTTGCCTTCACAGAATCCAAGTCGGCGGGTACTATCCCACTTTATACCATGGCCACATGCCAACAAACTGTTATATATCATCAAAATAGGACTGTCATTCAGGCATTCTGTTGATTATATAACAGTTTTATATCACTATTCTGATTTTACTGTTGCAACAATATTCCCATATTGAAACAATTATCGCATTTTAACCCTGGCTATATAACGGCTGGCTTTCTGACACTTTCGCCTTACGACTTAAACATATTTCCCAAAATTTTGAACCGTTCCTTTAAATCATGAATTATCAGAGTCAACCATGTGATACTTTCTGTGCATTTTTGACCTCTGGAACTATAGTTTCACAAAATAATCTCAGCTCAAGGTGTACTTACTAGCTTTCAAGCTCATATCAGCATCACATGACGGTAGTTTCTAACTTGTCAGGTGTCTCTCGTTGTCAACTGAACCACCTCCAACACAACGGAGTAAACTCCATGTGCTGATGACAACTGGGACCTGGTTGAAAGATGACTTGAGAATGCCAAATGTACCTTTAGTAAGGATTATTTTGTCAAATAAATGTAATACTGGTGCATTCATTTATAGTAGCCAACAAACACCTGTGTCAGAAGTGTCTGGTTATACTGTCCCGTTACCAGACATAAAGGGACGCCTGACAGCCAATCAGGAATCCAGAAATCTCAGCGGCCATGGTATGGTGTCTTGGGGTTTCGGACTTGGTCAGACAAACAAAGACGTACATTTGGAAACAGCACCTCGGGCTCTGGGAAATTGTGATGTGCATTTTTCTTAATTTTCTTACATTTTGCAGACTGACTGATTGATAAATAATCATTAGTTGGAGCCCTAGTCTACATCCACGTGGACAACACACAGTAGTCGTGCCAGTGCATAACGTGCATAATCAGCCATTGCAGTCGAGACAAGGGGTTTAAAGTGCTGCCAATTGTGCCAGTCTGATAATTGAAATCTAGCCACCAAGCTTAGACATTATTTGGCAAAATGTATGGTCAGCTGTGCTTTAATACTTTGTGAATCTGTCCTTTCTTGTCAGTTGTATTGGCTTTTTTAATGTGGTACGTGTTGTCATTGTTTAGTTATATATTTCAGCCAAAACCCACTGCTCAGGTATTCAGACCTGCTTCACCCTACCTTTCAATAGCCCTGAAGTGGCAGGAGCAGATATACCAGTAATCTGTCAGCACACAACACAAGGGTCTATTTAACAGTCTGACTTGAAGAATGGAAAGCCTGATATGTGCCATGATCTAGCAGACATTAAAGCAACTTAATGAATTAGAGCAGGCCTGAGGGGCTTCTGTGGGAAAGGGCATAGGAGTAATGGTACTAATGACACCCACACAAGACTAATGTATCAGGATTTAGGGAGAACTAAATCAGGACAATCCCATCAAGATGACACTAGGAAGATTTAAGGTCTGTCTGTATGTGTGTGTATGTGTGTGTGTGTGCGTGTGGGTAGGGTTATTACCTTACCCTACGGTGTGTTTTCCAGAGGAAGTTTCTGCTGTTTAGGGGAAGGTTTAAACTCATTTCTTGTATTTAACCGTGGTTCGGGGCTTTGGGCAACTGAAGCATTGCAGACATTCAAATAGAGTAATACAAGGTCAATATGGAAGGTTAAAATAAAAAGATACAGTTTCACCCAGGGAGGATTTGAAATGCCTGTTTTTCTATCAAATTACTATGGATTGCAGATGCAAAGAAACAAGTAGAAACAAAGCTCCAGAATCCAAGGCCATGTCAGGTACAAGTTTGTGTCACATGTGAAGAAGCCTTTCTGCCCGGGATGAGTGTTTCTGAAAGCGGTCTTTGAATCCTGTTTTGTTGTTTTGGTGGCTTTACGTGGGGTTAATCTGTATACATTCATCACAGAATGTCATTGTTAAGATAACAAATGTTTACACAGGAAATGCATCTTTCTGGCTGATTTATTGATTATATGACCTGAAAAAAAGGTCAACATTACGTTTTTGAACTTGTGTCTGGAGTACATAGAAGCATTGCCAACCTCTTTGTTTTTGTGGCGTATTAGTACTGTGGAGATGTTTTGAGTTTGACTTTGATTTTCTTTCTTTTTTAATGGTTCCCTGATTGTTCATTTTCTTTTGTTTCTAACAAAAATTCTGCACAAAGGTCAAGTGTTGCTTTAAAATAACGATTAAGAGCCGGTGCGACGAGATCGCTCTTGACTGCATACAGTAAACTGTACTGTATGTATGTTGTTGTGATTTGAAGCAACGCCCCCAACTGGGAGACCAAACTGTGGTGTCCTACTTCCAATTGTAATTCTCTGTCAAACCCAGAATCTGAAAAATACATGAGCAGAGCGGAACATTTCTTAGCAGTTGCTGTCACACACAGCCTTTTGGTGCAGTGACACAAACACTACCTGTTACAAGGTAGTCCACCGGTGCACAGTAGATAATACCAGTAGTATTATCTACTAGTACTTTTTATACCAATACAACTTCACAATTTTCTTGCCACTCTCAAGATCGGAAAAGGAAATCAATTATTTACCCAAAAATGTGTAATTCCATAAGATTGATGAAGAAATACAATTAGAGCTCTGGGTGACAACGCTTGGCCTTTCTGTTGTGACTCCTCAGTATTTTGATGTCTGGGTGATGTCTGGGTGATCTCCGTGAGATCGTGGCCGTAACGTTTTCACATTGAAAAGACATCAGCTGATCTTGATATGCTGAAGCTGTGCATGTACGATATTGTTTGGTGCATTTGTGTTTTCTAAATGAGGGAGTTAATAAAAACAATTCACTGAGGATTTTCTCTTGGATTTCTTTGAGTTATGTGTGGCACGGTGTCATTTTCAGCATCAGCAGTTTTAGTGTCTTTTACTGCAGGAAGAATTTGAGTGGTGCCTTGAGGCACCATCAAAGCTGTAAAATGCATAATATTATGAAAAGGCATTTAAATGAGAGTAAATGGCAGCAGTAATGTCATATGCAGTGGATAAAGAACACATTTGAAAAGGTTTTTGCTGCATATAGTAATTGCTTTAATATATAATAAGAACTATCATCACAGAGAATCTATGGTTTTGAATCTATCTAAAACAAATACTCTATCTGAAAGTAGTTCAGAGTAGGCTTTGTGCAGTAGCTTTTCGCAAAGAAAACCGATTCATATTTTTTTTTTATTGGAGCATATATCTGCTAAAGTTAAGATACCTTCCACTAAAACAAGGGAATGATGTGGAAAGCTACTGTGAAATATTGATTGAGCCGGTGTTGCAGAGATGCTTTTAAGATAATAAGAGGGAGAAGACCCTGCGAAGAGATCAATAGGAAGAGGAAGTGAAGAAAAGAGAGGTTTCTCCCTACACACCACAGATCATCCATAATGAGCTGGTGTGTCAATACTTCGGCAATGGCTCTTCACATTCTATTGACCGCTGAATCCCAACACTAGGCTACTGTAAAGACACTGGAGAGAGGCCATTCATGGGTGATTAGTATACCCACAGCATCACCTCTATTGCACTGCTAAATAGCAAAACTGCAAAGTGCAGATATTCAGATATGGGTTAGATAGCCCTCACAGGGATATTGGCTAAGACATGATTAGTGTATGTGACTTCACCCCTGTAGCACACAAATGCAGTGCAGATGCCGTAGCTTGGTAGCTACATATTGTAAATGTCAATACTGCCCCCGCATGGTGCCAGCATCCTGGTGCAACACTGTGGTCAGATTGGATGGGTGAGCCATCACAGGGGAGGCAGTGAGTCTGCAGTGACACTGCATTGAACGGGACGGGTATATGGAGGACTGGAGCCTGGTCATGCAGTGGAGTAATGACAAGATTCATGACCAATCTAGATTTGGATCTCAATCTGAGTGGTAGTAATCAACACAACATTAAAACAAATACAACCTAAAATGTTGCCGGTATGTGAAATAAGCTTTATAAATGTCATGATACAAACGCAAACATTTAGCATGTGATCATGCAGCAATATTTCTGTTAAATTCTCAATAAATTGTAGAAAACATAGTGCGTCGTTTCGCTGCACGTCCACTCCACGCTGCTAGGGGGCGCTGTCTCCATTTCAACTTCCTTCCTGGCAGCTCGGAAAAAAAGAAAACATTAACGGCAGGAGCTTCTTCCTGTGGCTCACATGTACACAGCCCCAAACAAGATGATGGACTCATCTAAGCGTAGTGATTCCACAAACAGTGGCCTTCAAGACTCGAACTCAAAAACCGACGACGAGGAAAAAGACGAGCTGTGTCCCGGTTTTAGAAACGCGGATGCTTTTGTTAAAGTAAGTGAACGAACCAAAAGCTGGACGCAGTCTTTGAGTTTAAGCCTCGCACTCAGGTGGGCAACGTGGATGTGCTTGTTGGCCACGAGCTGCAGTCACATTATGAGTTAGGTGTTGGTGGAAGACATGCACAGCTATCTGTTGACAAAAGATGTCATTTGATGTTGATCTTTATATTAAAAGTAATTGGTAGTGGTCGACGACACGAGGGTGGAGCTGGTGTGTTAATTAGCGTAAAAGATATGCCTGTTTCAAGGTAACGATACATGTTTTCATGTATCTTTAACGATTAGCATATTCGACTAATCTCTTTATTGTGTCGATTAATGGGTTCATAAAGAAAATGTTGACTCTTGTCAGAGTGATCGTGTAAGATTACTGAGTAAGGACCAGTGAGTTCAGGGCTGTAGTCAAAGCTATTCCACTTAGCTAACGTTAGCTCAAGTGATAAGTAAGCTATTAAAAAGCAAACAAATATCCACATTTGAAAAGGTTATTATAAATGGCTGAGACAAGTCATTATCAAAAGCGTTATTAACACATTTCCAGTCATTCTAGTAAAATATAAACACTGCATTTATGTAAATTTTAAATATGTAACGTTAACTGCCACGTTTCAGTGTTTAGGAATACCCTTGTTGTGAAAACCTTTATATTAGACGTTTCGCAAAAGAAGCAATACTTTACAGACATTGCAGTGTTTCCCTGACCTATATTTTTTATACAACCTTTATTCTATTAGTGTTGTCTAACAGCTCAGCCTGTCTCTCCTCTGCAGTATGGATTGGGTGCCGTGTTATCCGCCACCAAAGCATCCGCCGGCTTGCCTCAAGCTGGAGATGAGTATGACTTCTACCGCAGCTTCCCGGGATTCCGGGAGTTCTGTGAAAGCCAAGGGGACAAGCTCTTGCACTGGTGAGTGTGAATATATGTATAATGTATTGCTTCATTCTCAGTCAGACTTGCACCCGCTCCTCTCATTCACTTAAGTTAAAGCCCATGCAACTGACACAATTCAGGAATATGGTTGTTTTTTTATGCGTCTTGCCTTCTGAAAATGGTGGTCGTAATTGACTTGAGTGGCGTCATGTCACCCCAGTGTGTTGTACACTATCGGACTACATACTGGAACATCACTCTGTAGGGTTGTCCTCGACTAAAGAAAGTCTTAGTCAACGATTATGTCAACTAATCAATTAGTTGCTTTGATTGACAGATCAAGATCACACAAAGCAGCACTTTAAATCTTAAGAGCTGTATCACTCTCTTGGTCAATTAACAGTCTGAGATTGCTCCTCTAAACATTTCCTGATTACGTTTGTAAAACCAATGACATCACATCCTGTTTCTATGCTAACTGCGATACTGAAAGCAAGCCTGACTGAGCCTCAGACATGCAAACACAATAACTTCTCTCAACCCATTTCCCTGTGTCAGCATGGGTCAGACAATGCAGCACCACGGCTGCAGATCTCTCCTGAGCGACCGGAACAAGCTGACGGGCCTGGAGGAGAGGTTGGACTTGGTTGTGGACTCGAACGACGTCATCCTCGAACGAGTGGTATGGCCTCCAGCTTTGGTGTTTTTGCAAATTTCTTCATGGAGCAAGTCGTTTCAAACCAACTAAGCTCTCGTATCTGATTTCCAGGGGATTCTTCTTGATGAAGCTGATGGGGTGAACAGGACCCAGCAGCCTGTCCTGCCTGCCGGGTTTCAGCCTCCCAAGATTGTAGTTTCCAGCTGGAATCGCATGGTTGGCTAATTAACCTCTCGGCTCTTATACTGCAGATGCCAGCTTTTATTTTTTGGATGCATTAAGGTTTAAACGTTATGGGCCAGTCCTGACATTAAATCACTGAAACGGTTATTTGGAACACTTGATGAATATTCATACCGGCTCTATACACCTTTTGGTAATCGGCGCTTTTATTGATCAGGGTTCAAGTCGTTCCGAGACGTTCCGACTGCTCCACGCCAAGAATGTTGCGAGGCCTCAGCTGAAATTCAAGGAAAAAGTTGACAACAGCAACACGCCATTTATTCCCAAGATCTTCATCAAGCCCAATGCAATAAAGCCTCTTCCTTCTTGTAAGTTAAAGCCTCTTCCTCACATCTGTTTTCTATAAACTCATAAACATTTGTAACATATCTGTTCTCTCGCTCTCCAATTGTAGATTTCACCAACAAACAAATCCGTAAACAGAGACCCGAGGACCTTGATGTCCCAGCTGCACTGGCCGACTTCATCCACCAACAGAGAACTCAGGAACATGTTGAAGACATGTAAGACTTGTCTCTTTTGTAATAACAACATTCAATCTTTTCCTATTCATCTTTGTCCATCTTAACTTGTGATTCTGATCCACGTAGGTTTGCACACCCATACCAATATGAACTGGATCGTTTTACAGTCCCAGAAGGCCTTCTGTCTAAGGCAGAACCGCAGGTTAGTTATAGTGCTCCTACAATCCTGTGATCCTCTCATTCTTGGTTAGGGCTTCTACTAAATCTGTCGTTTGTGGATTCTTTTTTTAGATGTTCAAGCCAATGGCTGAGACCAAGTGCTCCTTCGTTGACACACTGGAGGATCTGGTGGTTCTGAATGAGAAGCTCTGCAAAGTGTCTGAATTTGCAGTGGACCTTGAGGTACGGGATTAGAATTAGTTTATAGATGTGCAGGGAGTGGGCATGATATCATGTATGCTTATAAAATGTAATGTCGATGCAAGCAACAGATTGAGCCTTTGTGCGGGTTATAATGCTCGTATTTTGCGTCAGGAAGGCATTGATTAAATTCTGTGGTTGATATTGATTACAAAGCCTGTTGGTTCTTTTGTCTAAGTGTGTTATTAACACTCTGTTCCCCATCGCAGCACCACTCCTACAGGAGTTTCCTCGGCCTCACCTGTCTGATGCAGATCTCCACCAGAGAGGAGGACTTCATCATCGACACCATTGAGCTCCGCAGCGAGTTGTACGTCCTCAACGAGGCGTTTACTCACCCGGCAATTGTCAAGGTAATGGAACCGCTCCACAAATGATATGTTCCTGCATCCTGTTCTGTGACTTGAATTGTCTAAAGGGAAGATGAGATTACATGTCTGATTAGATTTTCAAAATGGGAAACTGCACTGTGTGTGGCTGTTTATCGTGGCCAACTGGTATTGTGTTGAACTATAATCTCGTCGTCCAAGCTTAGTGCCCACAGCGTTTTGACAATGTAGTGGACAGCTATAGATATATTAGAGATATTTCTTATTTATAAGATATTTGAGTTTTATTTCCAAAATGAGTGGTGTAGATGCTTAAACTGAGGGTATTGAAAGAACAACTGTCTGGTTGTTTGACCACTTGTTCCACTTGTAGTATTGGTCTGCGTTGTAAAGCTGTGTCCAGCTTTGCCATCGAATGTTCAAATCTCACCAATTAAGACGGCCTTAAAATGGCCTCAAGGGAACTGAAATAAACGATGCGTCAGACTACCGTATGAACTGGTTGCGTCTGAACCGTTGAATCTTCTACCCGGAGAAGAAACTCTCCAACAGTGTTGGAAAATTAAGTTTGTAAAGATTTAATCTTGAAAACTTCTGAGCCTGAATTTCTTAGAGGTGTCTCAGAGCGTCAAAGCTTGATAAAGTTGGTGGGTGTCCTGTGATGTGTGTGTGTGTGTGTGTGGGAGCCACTGTGACTCACACACTGTAGGATACCTGTGAACAAGTGTGTTGCGTGGGCTTGAACCACAGAGAGATCTGTGAAAATAGTCCCAATGGGGGAAAAAAATAAAAAATGTCGCAATGTCCCCCCCCCTACTTTTTGGTTCAAATAGTATCTGTATCCAAGCAGTGAATTCTTTTTTTATTTTTTATTTTTTATTTATTTTTTTTTTTTTATTATTTTTTTCTCAAAATAAGTTTCAGCTGAATATGCGTTCTGTCCTGTTCTCAGATATTCCACGGCGCCGACTCTGACATGGAGTGGCTCCAGAGGGACTTGGGCTTGTATGTCGTCAACCTTTTCGACACGCATCAGGCCAGCCGAGCTCTGAACCTGGCCAGACATTCCCTCGACCATCTGCTCAAACACTTCTGCAACGCGGAATCGGACAAACGCTACCAGCTGGCTGACTGGAGGATTCGGTATGAAGAAGACGGGGCCACTTGATGCTTCATTTTATAGTTATTGTTTAGGTTTAACTGAGGGATAGAGTTCCTTTTGATCTCGTAACAGGAAAATCCATCATTTGTTACTCTTTTATTTATATATATATATAT